AAACCTTTATCCCAAAAGGAAAAAATAACCTGTTGGTGTAACTGCTTAAAACACCATTTAAAACGACATGTTCATCTAAGTCCCCGATCACACCTAGTCGCTCAAAGGTATGCACGACAAAATGCTCAAGACAAGGAATCCCATTTCCATCCCATTTTTATGGTCCCTGTTCACACCTAAGCGTTTTGTCACAAGCAGAAAAACACCTGTTGCTGGAAAAAGTACATGAGCTACTTTGTGGCAGATTACAGTGTTCTGTAGTCCCATAGACTTCAGTAGGAAACGTCATGCGACAAAACGCTCAGGTGTGCAACGGGGGCCATAGAAATGAATAGGATTCCTTGTTTTGAGTGTTATATCATGCTTAGTTTTGAGCGACTATACGCCAAGGTGAGAATGGAGCCGGCTACTCTGTCCACAGGATGACAACAGTGCTGTGTGATATCACTATAGAATGAACATAATTGTCAACCTATAAGAGCAAGTAGAAAAATAAAAGATCAACAGGCAATTAAACTATGGGATCTATTCACGAAGCAGCCGAAGGATCTAGCCGTAGCTTCGGCCGATCCTTCGGCTAGCTTCGGCCCCAGGACCCCTTCGGTTCAGTAGAACCGAAGGGCTGCTGTATGGGCTATTCACTATAGCCCGTACAGCTCCTGAACTTGGCCGAGCGGCTCAGTCGACCGGAAGGCATATGCCTGAAAGCCAAAGCTGGCCGAGCCGTGATCTTACGTCTGGCTCCGGCCACTTGTAGAGAGATCAGCGTCCCTGGTTACCAGCTAACCAGGGACACTGATCTCCAGACAGCCAAACTCTCCCGGGCGCTCCGGGAGTCTCCCGCTCCCGGCCGCCAAGGAGAGAAACACTGCTTTTTCTTTTTTTTTTTATTCTGACATGGAGCCATGTCAGAATAGAAAAAAAAAATAATCATTTTTGGCCATAGGAATGCATTGCTAGATTCCTATTGGCTATTTCAATTTGCAATACCAAACTAGCATTGCACCCGCCCTCTGCTGCAGTTCTTCATCAGGTCCCCACTACTGATTGACAACAGCAGAGGGTGGGTACAATAGCTAGTTTGCTATTGCAAATTGAAATAGCCAATAGGAATCTAGCAATGCATTCCTATGGCCAATTTTTTTTCTCTTTTTTGACGGCAGCAGAACCGCCGGCCAATAGAAAACTGTTGGGCGGAGCTAGCTGTCATTGCTAGCTCCGCACAATTGTTTTCTATTTTTATTTTTCTGCTTTTTCTACTGTTTTTCAATTCTGCTCGGTACTACAGAGATACCGAGCAGAACAGCCAAGCCGAATGCCGCTCAGCGGCATTTAGCTATTCACTCACTGCTGTTCGGCATCTATAAGAATAGACCGAACAGCAGCGAGTAGCCTGTCGGAGGTTCAGCTTAGCCGATTCAGATGTTGGATCGGCTGAGTCGAACTCACTTCGTACGGCTCACTTCGATTTAGGTCGGTCATTCACTCAGCTTAGTGAATCGACCCCTATATTTCCGGGCAAACACAGATAAATTAAAAGTGCTGTGTTAAGGATGTTGCAAGACTATATCATATATGTAATGTTTGAATTTGCTTATAGTCACACTTTAATGATTTTAAAACTGTGTTTCTAACTGTAGTTTGTAAATATATATATATTTATATGGGGACAGACATATTTGCTTATTAGATAGGCAAGCTGTGGTAGCTACTGATCTGGTTAGACTCAATGGGAACATTATGTGGTTAATCTTTTCTCAGCAGGAATTCCAACCTCATTTCCTGCAACAGCTAATGGAGGGAGAATGTAAAAATCTCAATAAAATACCATTGTGCAAGTATTGAAGAGCAGACATTTACTATGTGAAAGGCACATTAAAATATTTTCATGTTAACTTGACATTATTGACTTTTAATATACACACATTGAAACTATACTTTAGAGCAGTGGTCCTCAACCTGTGTAACTTCAGGACCCACAGTTGTCCTAGGTAATTAGGTCGCAACCCAAGGACAACCGTGCATTCCGGTCTGGGCGATCGTACAGTGGGCGGGAGGTGCATTTGGGTTACCATTCAAATGAATGGCAACACAATGCACTTCCCACACTAGAACGCCCAGTAGGTGCAATTGTGTGGTACAGTGTGTTAATCGGACGGAACTGTGTGATTATTGCACTGTACTAGTGGGAACAGGCCCTGAAAAATACTGACAGACACACATAAACAACAGGCACATTACAAAAACATTTTTTTTCTATTTTTTAAAGATCCACTCAGTTTTCATACCTCAGCCTGAGATCCCTAGGCTTGTATATATGGATCCCAGTATTGCTTGTACAGCTCCCTTGCGTGCCCTGTACTGGTGCCGGGAGCCAGAATGTGACGTCACTCTGGTCCAGGCACCTCTACAGGGCAGACGAGGGAGCTATAGAGGTGCCCTGTAGAGGTGCCTGGACCGGAGTGATGTCACATTCTGACGATGGTACACAAGAAGATGACATTCAGCACCAGGCAGCATATTTTGCATGGCTGCTTGGCATGGGGACTGACAGTGCTGCTCTAGAGGGAGGCTAAGGACCCTCTCACCCAGCACAGTGAAATGCACGCGGCAGCCCACTGAACACAGGGTTGCGACCCACTTTTAGGTCGTTACCCACCAATAGAAAACCACTGCATTAGACTACCTTTAAAAGATGCGAAAAGGATATTACTTTATAATTTATGAAGCCACTGAGGAATTCCGAGACCACCTAATGGTTCTGAACCAATGATGTTAGTGCCAGTGCACATGTGGTTTCTTTCCTGATGCAGTTTTGTTAAAACTGGTGACATCAAATCTTTCTCTATGGACAGCTAGTGATCTCTGAACCTGCTGCAGCTGACATTTGACCAGTGTGTGGCCTAGTTGACACCTCTCTTTTTGACAAAAGTTGATTTTTCAAACTTAGAGTATTTCAGAAGTTCTTGGCGCATGGTTTGTAGGAAAAGGGGAAAATTTTTCGAGAACAGTAGCGATGTAACACTAGTAAGGTTGACCTCTCTTTTTGACAAAAGTTGATTCTTCAATCAAGGTTCTCGACTGAACACTGACTGCAGCCAAACAGGGTATTCTAAAAAAAAGTCATAGTGTATGGTCAGCATTTGGCATTTTGGTAAAAGTTCTCTCATTGTGAGAGGGATGCAAAACCATTTGAGTGACTGGTATGTGAAGCTGTGAACATCTCTGGTGACTATTGAAAGAAATATAGAACCCCCCTCTGGCTTTGCTGGAAATTCCGAACTGCTCCCCCGTGCCATTGTTGGCGCTGCCCTGGATACCGACTACTGACAGACCTAAGGCCCTAAGTCCACTTGTGTTACACTCGCTCAAAGTGTGGGATTCCATCAAATACTCGGCTAATCTACTCTCCTCGTACCTCCCACATCTACCTTTGTTTGCCCAGCCCTTGTTCCCACCAGGTATGGACAACCCCAAGGCATTCCAGTGGTGGACGAACAATGGCTTTAAAATAGTATATGACATGGTGCGATCCCCTACCATACCCTCCTGGCAGTATCTACGGGAACGTAAACAGATCCCAGAGTCCGAACACTTCCAATACCTCCAGCCCCACCACTGGACCTCTGTCTTGATAAAGAGGAGAGAACCGGGTTGCATACTTACCTATTTTGAACATGTCTGCCTACATT